GAGGAAAAGCCCTGTCTGTGCTCTTGAGCACTATTCAAGCTCATTGTGGAGCGGTAGCCGGACTCGCTCGTGCTTCGCCGGGACCGTGCACGGGACAGACAGTGCTGTGGGATCTGCATGTGCCTGGGTCAGTCCCGCTCTCTGCTGGCCGATTCTTCCCCCACTACCCCGGCCAGCCCCCTTGCTCCCAGCCAGGCATGGAGTAGTGAGCACCTCATCAAGTTCCTTTCTCTGTTTGGCTCACATGGCTCCTTTCCAGATATTAATTACTTTCAGCTACTGGTTTGCAGAACATGTTCCATATTCATTTTCTTGTTGATTGATAGCACCTGTACAATAACTAATTAAATACTCACTGCTTAACTGTGTGAGTCAGCTGCTGGAAAATAGCAGCAGCATCTCTGAGGGATTTTCAGGAATCCTAAAGCAACTATGCTGTGGGAGCCTGCTTGCTGCAGTACTCACCTCTGGAGCTCTAGGCACATACAGTTTTCCTACTTTTTCTCCATGTTCCCCTTTTCCCCCAAGAAAAAGTTTTGAAGGGGCGATGCTCTCTAAACCATGATAGAGGTTACATTTCAATCATATTTTATAAAAAGTTTAGTTTTGTGGGACTAAGAAGAGAGGGAGGCGAGTGAAAGAAACATCTTAGTTTTTACATTTCTCCCATTCCTTTGTCTCCCCAACCATACCTTTGCATACAGCTTACATGTCTTACTGGTAAACCTGAGTGTATTTTTATCAGTATATTCAAATTCAAGCAGTTTTCCTTCCCTCCATAGAATACACACTATTTAACTTATTCAGTAGGTTTTGAGAAATTAGCATTCTCATTCCATACCTCTTCTATTTGTTTAAAAACAAAATTCCTAGATGAGTTAAATTAATTCAGTGCTTATTTGAGGTGCTGGTTTGATTGCCTGGGATGCTGTGAAGTCTTCTGTCTGTCTACAGATAGCAGAAGTACAAGCTTTCCCACCATAGCCCTGCTGCTTTGGGTAACAGAAAAAAAATCAGTCTTCATATCTGCTCAACCCCTCTTCTTTCTAGTTAAATTGGTAATAAGGGTACCAGCTCTGTTGGGTGGACACCTGTACCCAGTGAACTGGACTGAAACCATCAACTAGTTTCTAGATGGCTATCTAACCTTTCAGTAAGTAAATACTAATCAGATGAATTAGGTTTTATGCATGAAAGCTATATATTTTTGTTAGTTTCTAAGGTGCCACAGGACTAATTATTTTTAAACTTACAGACTAACATGGGTATCCTTCTGAGACTTTTTAAAGGTGTTTAGTTATTACTGCCCAGAACAGATTTGAATTGGTTACTTAGCTCTGTAGACTTCCCTTATCTACTTTTCCACCTTATCACTTTTTGTGATGTTTGTTTAAAATGTGTCTGCCCTTTGTGCCGGGACTTGTCTTTTAACATAGGTGTACAGTGCTCAGCATAATACGGGCTCTAATCCTGTTTGGGGCATCCGGAAAATATTGCAAAAGAAATAGTAATCCTGGAGGTTACTAAATTAAAACCAAGAAGAAAATATTAAAAAGCAATTAACATTCTTCTCTCTCTCTCTCGTTCTCGTTCTGAGTTATACAGCCTGGCATCTGTTAAAGTAAACTGGCAGTGTCTGGGGGAGAAGTGGCAGTGATTTGGGGAAATCATTTTAGGCAATTCTGGCATTTCTTTGGCAAAGTTCTGCTTACAGTGTCATCATAGCTGGAAAGACAAGTTTGGTGCAGGGAGGAACTGTCGATAATAATTGAAAATTTCTCTGCAGCGCATATTGTTTAAAAGCTGTTGTTAAAAGTTTTGTGTTTCTAATGTATTGTAGGGCGTGACTGAATGAGTCAGGAGTTACTTGGAGCATGCTATGATCCTATATGCAGATAGTTTTGTTTTTAAAATCTTTAACATATTGGGAAGAACTTAAATACTGTTTTTAAAAGCGTATTTATATTTGTCTGTGTGAATATTTATATTGTTCTGAAACTTTTTTTTTTTTTTTTTTTTGCTTATTGGTTAACATTCGCTATAAGATTTATTTATTTATTTATTTATTTATTAGGGTGTAATGGTTAGTTAATAGGCTTTTCACCATATTAGAGTTAAAGATCCACATGGACTAATAAATCTGCTATTTAAGATAGTCCCAGTGAATGTATTCGTCTGAGTGAGCTGAAGGAGAGTAAACATACAATTTAAAAAATTAGGAAACCGAAGTGTGTCTTACAAAGACTCAGTTCCCTTCGGAATACTACTCATTTACCTAAAGTTAAGACGCTTTAGCTTTTCCACATTGATTTTTTGCATGACACATTCTGAATATGGATTAATTAGGTTTAGGGAAACAGAGTTACTTAGGTAAGATTTTCTAAAGCACTTCTCATTGGCCTACTTCTGCTCTCATTGAAGTGAATTGATTTTATTGGGAGCAGAATTAGACTACATGGAACATTTCAGAGAATCCCACCCTTAACATCAATTAAATGCTCATTAAGACTGCTTTAATAGCTCAAGGTTTATCTTTCCCCAAGCCACCATCCTTTCTCTTCCTGTCCCTGCTCCACCCCTTTCCCAGTACTCCCCAACTCCTCCTCTCCTGAGCAACACCGAGAAGCAAGGAGGTGGGGGGGGAGCCAAGTAGGGCCAGTTGTTCTGCCATTGGCCCCCACATTGTCCAGGCCCCATGTCTCTCTGAAGCGTGGGACCCCAGGTGGCCACTCCAAACTGTCCTATGGATGGGATGGCTCTGGTGGTGCTTGAAACTCAAACGAGATGGCCCATCACTGGATCTGGATTTAAACTGATAGGGTATGTCTACACTACCACCCTAGTTTTAACTAGGGTGGTAATGTAGGCAACCGGAGTTGAAAATGAAGCCCGGGATTTGAATTTCCCGGGCTTCATTTGCATAAAGCCGGGTGCCGCCATTTTTAAATGTCCGCTAGTGCGGACTCCGAGCCCGCAGCTACACGCGGCATGGAGTAGGAAGTTCGAATTAGGCTTACTAATTCGAACTACCGTTACTCCTCCTAACACTTAATTCGAACTTCCTACTCCATGCCGCGTGTAGCCGCGGGCAGAGAGTCCGAACTACCGGGGATTTAAAAATGGCAGCGCCCGGCAAGATGCAAATGAAGCCCGGGATATTTAAATCCCGGGCTTCATTTGCAACTTCGATTGACTACATTAACCACCCTAGTTCGAGCTAGGGTGGTAGTGTAGACATACCCCCAGTGTCTGTAAAAGGGTTTAGCCGCTCCCCATCCCCAAAGCCCAGATACTCTGCTGTAAGCTTAGCCGCCTTCCCTGCCCAACTCTGGCACAGTCAGTGTTCATCACAAACCACATCCTGCACAGCCGGATGTGCTCACTCACGTGATCTTAGTGTTTGTGTCCACCAAGACAAGAGATGCTTCCTAGATTAAAAGATTATTTTAAAATCTGGGAAATCTTGGGGCTTTCGCCACCTCCCACCCTCCTCTGCAGGAAGCTGGCAACGGCTCCAGTCTTGCGAGGGGGACAAGGCTAGATTACCAGCACAGGCTCCCCATTGCAGGAGAGGAGCTGCCCGGGGTGGGCTGAGCTTGAGCCTCAAGCCATATTTGGTTCAATTATACATTACAATTATAAGCCTAACCAGAATCCCTTAAGTGACTTGCCAGAGGATGTCAGAACATGTTAGTATTACAGTGAGTGGGTCTAATATTTATTTAACTTATTTTCTTGATATCAGATATAGTGTTCCTGTGAGATGATTTCTAAGTTATTGTCTGGAGAGGGGGGAACCCTAGAATTTTCAGTTATCAAAGTAGCCCCTGGAATCATGGTTAAAGTTTCTCCCCTTCCTTATTTGGTGGTCAGGCGTAGAAAGTGCGTGTGTGCGTGCATATGTGTAGAAAAGCTCAGGTGACTGCCAGCATTCTCACCACCATATTTTTAGAGAACAAGATGGAAGTATAATGCGAAACATGCCAGTACTCTCTCTACACTAATACTTGCACAATTGGTACCACTTGTAGAGCTGCAGTGGTGGAATAATACTGTGCAAACTGCGGTTTGTATTAAATACACTGTATTAAATATAATGTGTTTGATACGAATTAGCCTTTGGCCTTTTACGTGATTATTGGTTTTCCCAGAGAATTCTCACTAAGAAGCTGGGCCTCATTTATTATCTGTACTGTAAAAACATTTTTTACTTCAAAATAGGGTTAGTAATAAATGATTTTAAAGACTTCTTGTGGCTTAATATTTTACATTTCTTAATCTCATGTTCTTGAAGTTAACATCATACTTTTAAAAACATGAATGTCCTCATGTTCTTCTGGATTGTGGATTGAAGAGGAAGGAGTCACTATTATGTCTAAATTGAAGGAACGCATCAATGACCTTAGCCCTACTAACAAAATAAATGAGTTGCGAGAAAGAAACAGATTTGTCTGTCCTTGAATATTAACACATTTTTAGTCGTGATTCTCCCCCTCCACCCCATAAGCTGTTAATAAAAGCTGCAAATCCATCTGAATGTGAAGATGAAATCGGCCTTTAAGGTAGCTGTTGAAAATACTTAAATAATGTGTGGAATTTTATTGTTTGTATTTTACTTATTTACAAGATTATCCAGTCTTAAAATGCAAAACAATTTGATAGTTTTCCAATGTGCCGTGACAAATCTGAACTTCAACACAGTATTCAGAACACATCATAATGTTTTTAATTTCTATTGCAGTTTTTGTATGGCCTTAGATTGAAACTAATATACTAGTTTTCATTAGGAGTTGGATGTGTGTGGATATATTAGCTATTTGAGACAAATTTATTTAATCTAACTGAACACGAACTTTCTTATAAAATGCAAAGGTATTTTGCTGTCAGTTTGGGTGGCAGAGTATATTCTACCTGGATCAGAAGCTCTGAGTAATTTGAGCTACATGTCTATTTCCCTTTGAATTAGTGAGATGCTTAATTTTCTTCTCTTTTTCTTTAAGGCAAGGACCTCTATCATCCATTAGAGCAGTAATCAAGAGAAGTAAGTCTATTTTTCTTCTACTCTTGGGCATCTTAATTTCAAATTGCTGCATCTTCATTATCAGCAAGTGGTTATTTTTATGAGACGATTATAAAGTTACTTATGTTTAGTTATTCAGAATCATTCATCATTTGACAGATTGTATTGGTTTTTGCTTTGCCTAATTTTAGACCATGTCATCTGTTTGATGCTGAGTTATTTCCTCTTGCAGAATCCTGGTAATTCTCTTACCTGTGCACTTGTGCTGAACTGTGTATGTCTGATTCTGAAGAATCTGGGTTGTAGTTGCTTGCTTTAATTTGGTTGGTTGGTCAGAGCATCTTCCTGCTTCCACTGAAATCAATGGCAAAACTCTCAGAGTATGTCTACACTACAGCGTTATTTCTAAATAAGCTATTTTGAAATAGTTAATTCGAAATAGCTTATTTCAAAATAACGTGTCTACACACACAATGCATTTCGAAATAGCATTTTGTTATTTTGAAATAGCACGTCCACATTGAGTGGACGCTGAATCTCATTTAAGGCTGTCCAGAACCAGGTCCGGCAGGGCATCAGGTCAGGATTTACTTTGTGTGGCTGCTGCCTGAGGCTATCTGAGGCCTGTGCTTAAAGGGATTTCCCCCCCCCCCGGACAGCCGGTTCCCAGCTTTCCCTGCTTGCTTTCCTACCTTGATGAGGGACAGCAAAGCATTTTGTCTCTGCTTAAACTGGTTGCCCTCACTTGTGACACCACAGCACTCTGCAACATGGAGCCAGAGCTGCCTGGGCACTCTGGTGCTTCTCGTGAAGGTGTTGCTGTAAGCCTGGCTGCACTTTCTGCAGGCTGCCAGCCGGGAGGGCCATTGGGGAGCTGTCGGTATCCAGGAGGCCCTGCGGGATAGTGTCCACCCTGAGGAGCACTAAGAGCCTCTCTGCTCTTCCCCACTGGGGGTTTGTGCCTCATTCCTCCCTCACGTCCTTCCACTTACCCCTCCCTAACCCCCCTTCCTGATGTCAAATAAAATTCATGAACACAAACTCTCTTTATTTAACAAAACTGGGGTGGGGGGAATGCAACTCTGGTGAGACTGAGGAAAGGAGGCAGCAGAGGGAAGGAGAAAGGATGTGAGAGGGGAGGGGGAAACATGGGAGGAGGGAGCTGGAAGGGGGAAGCTGGGGAGGAAGGGGGAGGGGAAGCTCAGGGCTCAGGGTTGGGGGTCTCCCAGACCGACTTGATTTTCATGCAAACCTGCTCCTGGGTTCGCACTTGGCCTTTGGTGGCCACGCTGGCAGCTATCCTGCCCTAGACGGCCACTTTCCTGTGCCTAGTGTGGAGACTGTGGACATTGGAGGCCTCCCCCCCCAAACCAGGATGAAGTCCATGATCTCCGGACTAGACCAGGCGGGTGCCTGCCTCTTGCAGCCCCGGGTAAGCTCCTGGGTGCCGTCAGCCTGGTCCTGGGAAAAGACAGAGGGCTGGGTCCTGCTCCTGGGTTCACATGCGGCCTTTGGTGGCCAGGCTGGCAGCTATCCTGCCATAGACGGCCGCGTTCCTCCATCTAGGGTGGAGATCATGGACATTGGGGGCATCCCCCCCAAACCTGAATAAGGTCCATGATCTCCACCTTAGACCAGGAAGGCGCCCTCCTTCTTCGGGCCCTGGCAGGCTCCTGGGAGCTGGCAGACTGGTACCGGGGAGCGGTGAAGGGCTGGCTGGCACTGACTTGCTGGCTCATGTTTTGGGGCCACTGAGTGGGGGCAGTGACTCCTGGTTCTAGGCTGGCAGGTTTGGAGCTGGCACAGGCACTGTGGCCAGAGTCTACCTCTTTAAGGGCTCCGGGGATGGGAGGAGGGAGAGGAGTGTTCTTGGTTGAGGCTGGAGTGGCCACTAGGGCACCTTCGGAAGGCTGGTGGCCTCCTATTTCGAAATGAGTGTCTACACAGCACTTATTTCGAAATAGCTGTTTTGAATTTGGTGTTATTCCTCGTAGAATGAGGCTTACCAAATTCGAAATAAGCACTCTGCTATTTCAAATTTATTTTGAAATAGCGGTTTGGCTGTGTAGACACTAAGAAAGTTATTTTGAAATAAGGTCTGTTATTTCGAAATAACTTTGCTCTGTAGACATTAGTGAGCGCTCGGTTTAGACCTATGTTTGTTGTTTCATTGTGGGGTTGCTTCCTCCCCACCCCCGCCCATGATAGCAATTGTAGGATCTCTAGTATAGCTAAGTTGTGATGTGGTCAACAGGAATGTAAGCACTTTGTTAACTGCTCAGAGCAAGTCTTTGCTATGCTTAAAACACGGCATCTTGTATACACTAAGTAAGGGCTACCGAAGTTATTTTACAAATGAGAAATTGAGGGACTGAAAGATCATGACTCATCCCACGTCACTCAGGAAGGTCTGACAGAGCCAGGAATTGAATCCAGATAATATCCAAGGCCCAGTCCTTTGTTTTAGTTACAAACCCTCCCTAAAATGATTACATATTAATGAATAACATTTCACAAATTCTGGGCATATAAAGGCAATTTTATTTTATATATATAAAGCAATCAAAGAAATAAAAATAGTTATCCTCATCTAGTAAGCCCTAACCTCTAAATGTTATAGCAGAACAGGTTGAACCTCTGTTAACTAGACTCCTGGTCCAGCAACATCTGTGGTCCATCAGGACCATGGATGTTACAGGATCAGAGAGTCCCAATGGAAGGCTGGCAGCTGGGCTGGTGGGTTTAGGAGCCCGGTGCACTGCAGCAGGGTGCCATGTGTGGCCAGGAGCCTGGTGCACAGGGAGCTGGGCTGCCTGGCTTAGCAGGGAAGGGGTGGGGGAAGACTGGCAGGACAGTGGGGCTGGCAGGGGGTGGAGTGGCCAGGAGGCTGGTGATCCATCCAGGGCTGGGGGGAGTCAGTAGAAGGGGGGCCAGAAATGACCTCCCATGGTCCAGCAAATCTCTCATTCGACAACGGTCAGGTCCCAAGGGTGCCAGAAGAGGGAGGTCCAATATGTACAAAGAATAAGTAATGATAATATAATACTAGTATATGATTGGCTGTGTTACAATATTCATGTAATGAGAATTACTCAAAGGAGAAAGACATATCCCATGATTAAAGAAGCAGTGAAACAGCCATTATATATTTATGTAGACAGAATGCATAAAAAGTTACCTCTATAATCTCAGTTATAAATAGGCCTGAACCAAAACTCCCTGTCTGCTCCCCAACACGCTCAAACGTTAATTGCAAGAATGTACAGTATCTACTGTAACAATATGTCCTTAATATCATTAGAAATATTTTTCTTTTTTGAATCTCAATTTACGTAGTCTCATTAGCTTTCATTTGCAAGGCCTCATGACAGATGTCAGCAAAGTTTATAATCTGATGATTGTGGTTAAAATGGATGAAGCTGGGAGTTCTCTCTTTCTGTTTCTCCCTCTGTTTTTAGCAGAGAAATGGGAAGTCTTGTTTCTCTCCTGCTGTCCCTGACTGTAGCCATAATTGAGGAGATAAGAACATGTAATTTCAAATGTCTAAGTAGCTCAATACAGGCCCTTCTTTCTGAGATTGATTTTCTTAATAAACCTAGGAAGTCATGAATTAGAGGAGAGAAAGAAATAGTAGTATGGGTACAGTCAGCAATTTTTTCCCTCTCCATTACCACCATTTTCTAGCCTTAATAATTGCTCTACAAGTCTGGGCTCTATGTACTACTGTATAATCAGCACAGTGCAGCTCTTATAATGGTTGGGGCCTCCAGCCAGTATTCAAATACAAACAAAAGAAATAAATAAAGCACATGGACTAGTCAAAGAAATTCAGTGTTTATATATAAAAATAAACATTGGCTAGTGAAGAGTCAGCCCAGTATGACCTCCCGTTTAAACAAAACAGCTGTCTGAAAATAAGACTTATGTCAGAGAAGGAAAAAACCCAAACAGACTACTGAAAGTTTGGAGGAGAAGAGGGGATCATGTCTTGGGGAAGGATAGCAAAGTGCACAGATTTAGCTGGAGACAGGTATAGCAGTGGCTGGCGGTGGAAGGCATTTTATGGCTCATTCCACTGATGTCATCTACTAGGCAAGAATGTGGCTAGAAGTATGAGGAGCAGTAGTAACTTGTGACAGCGGGTTTTATTGCTAACCTTTATTAACACCCTTTTGGGGGGGGCGGAGGTGCAGAAGCTGGGGCTAGGTCTACACTACAGAGTTTTTGCGCAAAAACTCGCAGAATGTCCACACAGGCGTGTTTTTGCGCAAATAAAATAAAAGGTTTCCGGTGTAGGTATTCTTCCTTCCACAGCAGCTGGTTGTGGAATGTCTCTGTACAGGCCCTCCTGTAATCAGTGGTGCAGTTGTCGCTAGATGATCTAGAAGCTGATGGTTGCCCTTCTCTTTGGGGCAATAGAGGTACAGTTTGTGTTTTAAGCACCTGAGTTGCTTTTGCAGCTTAGTTTATCCTCTGGAGTGATGTCTGCAATAAAAAAATTCCCCACTGATTTCTTGCATGTAGTACTCTCCGACTATATTCGTTTTAGCATTCCTGATACGCTTCAAGGCTTACCATGTAGACTTCTGCATAAATGTGTCCAGCTGGTAGCTATAAATACCCAAGATTTCACTTTTTTTCACTATTACATTCCAACCCAATTAACTGAGCCACTAGGTTTGCCCAAAAGTTGGTTATGTTCCCTGGGATGTATTGACTGACGAACTGGAGTGTGCCTGCCATGTGGCACTTCAGTCTTGCAGAGCTGCTATGTTCTGCATGACAGGCTTCTAAACTTTGCATGAGTGAAATTTAGAAGCTTTGGAGGAGCTAGCTTCAGGATCTGGTTTTAAAGAGCTTCATAACAAGAAAGCTCCCAGTTATCTGTACCTCGTTTTATGAAAATTTTCAATAAGATCTTTGTATAATCAGTTTCTCTGGTTTTTAACTTGTCTTTTCAACTCAGCGTTCCCATAATATGTACTACTTACACACACATACATGTACGTACATACGTACGTACATAGGGGAAGGAACCGAGAGATTATGATTTGGACTTCTGTTCTTGCTCTCTCTCTGTGTATCTCTCTGTGTCTGAGTGTCTCTCTGTCTCTCTCACACACCGGTCTTCTGTTTTAATTATCAGGAGATGGTCAGATACTACTTATATGAGGACCATATAAGTACCTAGACAGTGACAAGAATAATTTCTTAGAAATGCCAGTGTATTGCATTTTATCTTAGGCTGAAGGCAAGAATTTCTGACTTGTGGTGTGAAAGCTTTAAGAGAATCTGCAGTTAGATTAATTAGTACATAACCTTGCTATTTAAAACAATTAGCATTTCTTTAAAATTCATGGTAATCACATTTCCTAAGGATATTGAAAGATTTAATTGACAGAACTCATTTATTGAATCTATAATTGCCAGGACTAAATTTGATTTAAAAGCACAGTGTGGACCTGGGCTTCCCCCAAAGTTTGCAGATGTTCATGTCTGAGGCTTTTGCTTCTGTAATTAAAAATAAAATGACTTGTAAAAACTATGGAATCTGCCACTATAAAAAAGAAAATCAGTGTTTATATTGATACTTTAATAATGAAATGAAAATAAAATGGCCAAATTAAGATTTCCTGAGAATTGAAAAATATGATGGTGATATTTTTATTACAGTGGCACTCAGTGGCCCAAATGGGATGGGAACTCGGAGCCTGGGTTCTGTATAGACATAGACATGGCCTTTCCACAAAGAGCTTTACATTCTGTGCTCACTCGGTTGAAAATAGGGATATTTGCGTATAGCCGTTTAAACGATTAACAGTTAATCCAAATGACTACATGCAACCCTTCCCCCCTTTGCTATACCTCTCTATCAGACAGGCAGACTAATACACACAGGGAACTGGTTTTAAGCCGGTTCCCCTTGAGCAATGGCTCTGTGGAGCCACATTTCCCTCCTCCCCCTGTGCTGCTGCTTCTGTATCAGCAGCGGGAGAGGGGTGGAGCAACAGCGGGGGAAGGGGGGAAGTAGGATGGAAGCCTAAGCAGCCTCTGTCTATGGGGAGCTCTGTCCACAGGCAGGTGGAAACTGATTTTTAAACCAGCTACTTACTCAATTACTAAAATACACAATATCTAACATCCCTAGTTGAAAAATAACTTTCTTCTCAGAATGGGTCATTTATTTTCCTATATTGAAAATTTGCAATGTGATTTCAGAGGTCCCATTGTGAAACATGTTTGGTAGCCTTTTTAACTCATTGCTGAAAACTATATCCCCATAATCCATATGTGTCTCAAATCTAAGAGAGAAACAAACTAGTTAGCAAGAATATTATCTAAAGTGGAAAAGATGGGGTAATGGGGTGGGGGAAATTCCAGTCATAAGGGAACTAGGGTGTGTCATAACTCTACCCAAAACTCAGAATGTACTCTCTTACCACTGCACATTTAGTTGGAACAAAAGAAATAGAAAATTACTGGTTGCAAGAAGAAAGCTAGATGAAAAATTTGAAGTCTACAATTCACATAATGAATATTTATTTAAAATGTATTGTCATTTATATTGCACCTATTGCCATTGCAAAATAAGCAGTAAAGAAAGTTGCATGCAGTACTGGAATAATAAAAACCATTGTAACAACTCACGAACATTCATACAATTTCTCCTAAAGAAAAAGTTATGTCAAATCAGCCATAAAGATTTTTTCCCCTTAAGAGCCATAAAATGGAAAGGGATAAAGAAGAACTCCGAGTTTTGTTACATGTTCTGCCGTCCCATATATAATTATCATTAGTTTTTGTTTATCTAGTCTATAACTATGAAAGTGTTAGCATTTCTATGACAGTGAATGGCTCTGAGCTGAATAGGATATCAGGGGACAAAAATATCGGCATGTTTCCTAAAGGTGATCCACAAAGGAAAAACAACTGGACTTATTAAATCAAGTTACATTTTTCCTGCCTTTTTGAACATTTGAAATTCAGGCCTTATCTACCCTAAAATTTTCTCTAGTTACACTATCTTGACTCTGCATTATAGAATGTCTCACTCATACAGGGTTCGAGAATTGTGACCATTTATGTTCCAGTTTCTAGAGGTCACTTGAAGCTGATATTGCACCGATTCTTTGCCCCACACACTGATAATATCCAAAAGCTCTGTGTTGCTCCTAGTAGGAGAGCATTTTGAGCAATAGCCACCTCCCTGAAAAGATGCCAGGAGGACCAATACACAGCGAGCCAAGAGGACCATTATACAATAAGCCAGACACCAGGAAATGGATTTTTTAAGTTTTGGGGGTTTGCAGGTGGAAGTTTTGGCAACAAAAAACTTCCACCTCCACACAAGACTTGCATCTGCTTGTTTTTATGGCTGCAGAGCAGCAGAGGTTAAAGCTCTGGCCAGAGTGGCTAATTGGGCATTGTGGGAAACATGTTGGAGGTCAAAGGACTTAACAAAATACTTACTGTAGTACACACTACATGATTGTCGACAATAAAGGGGAGGGGGAGAGACACTAAAGTCTTGTGTGGAGGTGGAAGTTTTTTGTTGCCAAAACTGGGCTTTTGTCGTGGCACAATGTGGACGCTCTCTGGGTTTTGTCACCAAAATGGTTTTTTGGCAACAAAACTTGCGACAAGGCCTTAAGCTAGGACACTGAATACATTTCACAGACTTGAAAAAGAGGTCTGTGACAGCTTGAAATCTTCTCTCTCACCAATAAAATTTGATCCAATGAAAATATTTCTTTACCCACTTGATCTCTGTATAGTCTGAAATGAACATGACTGTAACAACACTTAGGCTAAACAGGTGTCTCATACCAGTTGGAGTGATTTACCTCTTTTCTTTATTCTGAGTGAAAGGGAAGGTAAAGAAGGGAAATGTATGTTCATGCATGGGGGTTCAAAGATAAGCTTGGAATGGGTAGGATGCAAATTATTAAAGAATCTGATTTGACTAGTATCCCATCTGTTTATAAAGAGTTTATATCAAAGTAGACACCAATTAATAAATACCTAAAAATGCTTTTCTCATTTGAAATCAGCACAACAGAAGTATTTCTTCTTTCCTTCTCAGTTTTCCTGTTCATAATTAAAATGTCATCCCCAAGCAATTTTACTAACCTTCTGTTAAATTCAGTGTGAGAAGAGAAATTAAAAAGTCAGGTAAATTGCTCTGAATTTCTTAAAATAAATTTTATTTTGAACAATCAAACAAACCATTAGAGTTTTTCTTTAAAAAAACTGAAATCTGCACTATTCTTGTGTGACTAACACAAATCCAAATAATCTTGTCTATTGACTTATAGGAGCTGTGGATTGTTCTTTCTTCCTCACACCCTCTTTCTCTACTGTAACCCCTTCTTTTTTTCCTCTAGCACTCATGAATAGTGCACATCAAAAATGCCCCGTGGACGAGGTATGTCTGTGACAAAACTATGCCTTTCTTTTTCAAGGGGTGCTTTGCTGATTTCAGCTCTCAATCTGTCATGGCATAATAATGGTGCAATTGTCAGCTTTTGCATAGTAAGACTTTACTTCTCCCTAAATCACATTTGCTATGTAAAGATTAAGCTGAGAGTTGATTTATTTTCTTTTTTTATTTAATCGCATTTTAAAAAGTTAGCGTGGCCTTTAAAATATTTGATTTTTTTTTAAATAAGCATGTTAAGCATATTTCTCCTGCACACAATACTATTAAATATTTACTCAGCAGACGGAAATAGTTTCTCGGGTAAATATATTTCTTTTATTGGATTAGGGTTTTTTTTTTTAAACAAAAAAATTACATCAAAATAAAAATTTGAACCAAAAACATGTTTAAAATACACAAAGTCTAGGAAACAAATTTTTGAAAGACAAGGCTAAGGAGTATCACACTGTTCTTAATCCATGGAGTGGTGAAAAACAAAAAGGCATAAAAGTATTTAAGGATGTGGTAGCCTCGCTCTTATTAATTTTACTTGCTTTTTAGTTTCTTTCAGAGCTTTCGTGTTATTTTAGCATAATGGTAACAGTTTTGGACTTTTTCCTCCTTCTCTCTGCAATTTGTCTGAACCACAAAACATGCCTCAGAGGATTCTTGAACTCCAGTGTGTGTGTAAATATACATATTCTGTGTCTTATAAACATTACTGAAGAACAGCTTTTAAAAAAATCTCTTGTTTTTAATAAAAATAAATGTTATTTAGAAAGGGCCACTCTTTTAGAAATCTGTTGTTTATCATCAAATGTTACATAAGGTCAGTTATGATTATGATGGCTTTTTACCATCTTCAGTTTGTTGCTGTACTAGTCTAAGTTAACTTTTTTTTCTCTTTGTTTTACTTTAATAGCTTCTCGGACTTCTCATACTGAACAGCAGAGAGATAGAAGGTATAACATGATCATTTGTATTTCAATCATGTCCTATAATAGTTGGTTTTAGAGTTCATTTTATCTGATAGTGTTAGGATCCTTTTTCCTTTTCTTTTCTTTTCTTTTCTTTTCTTTTCTTTTCTTTTCTTTTCTTTTCTTTTCTTTTCTTTTCTTAGTGATCACTGGAACCAAAGCAGTAAATGCATACATTTTTTTAAAAATACGATTTTTAAAAGATGGGCTTTTGATCTGAAATTTTTAAAAACATGTATTGCAGCACTACTACCTTCATACACACTCCTTTTCTATGTGATCATTTTAGGTTGAGAATTCAAACTTTAATACATACATTGTTCAGTTCATTCCCTTGCGGGACCTGGCATTGGCCACTGTTGGAAGACAGGATAGTGGGCTAGACTAAAGATGCGTTGCCGTACCGGCACACTGAGCAGGGTAACTGGTGCCTGGCCCGGCTGTAGCAGCCTGCCCAGTCCAGCCGGAGCAGCTCCCTGTCTGCACTGCCTGTTGTGTAATGCGGCAAGCCGGTTAACCAGTTAAACATAACATTTTAAATGGGATTTTGTATCCCTTGGCTAAATGGGTCTTTGTTCTGATCCTATATGGCTGTTCTTATACACCCCTTTCCAACTTCTCAAAATAGGTGCCCCAAATTAACTGATCATAACAAGAACCTTTTAAACATATATTTGTGCACTACTTTTCTGATAGCAAACTGACGGCAGAAGCTACCATGGCAAATGGTCCATGACGCCAGATATCTAACATCCCACAGTGGCCAAGAATGTTGTGCAAGTCAATACAACTCATTCTTACATCAAAGCATTCACCAAGCTTTTCATTCTATGGGCGCAATAGTCTAACAATAGAGAGATGATCAGGCTCTCACTCTCTTCCTAGCTGTTTGGTTCTCAAAAATCTTTTGTCATACAGAATATCTTAAAAGGTTCCATAGAGCACAGTCATGCAATATTGAATATGAGTGTTGGAGGATATATATTTACTCTTGTAGACAACTGATTTACGCTCAGGCCTGATCTATGCTAGGACTTAGCCCTCCAAGGTCGAATTTATATGTGATGCGTCCACACTATCATGCCTGTTATTCCAGTAAGGGGTTGCAGAATTTGAACTCTTTAGTTCTGCTTTTCAAGAGGAATAATGCTATTCCCAAACTTGTAAGTCTGTAATAATGTTAATATGGATGCTTTGGTCTTGCAAGTCAGTCATGCCTTCCATGTCCTACACATCACCTTTTTTATTCTTTATGTTCCTTTGCAGACGTCCTGAGATTACAATAGTTGCTGCTGAGCCTCTCCGACCATCCTCCTGGTTTCTAGGTGGAAATGTCACTCCACAGGGATTAGGGTTCCCTCCTCCTTCCCAGGCTAACTGGAGGACAAATGATCTTGTTCCAGCTGAGGTGAGCGGATAATGGACGTATTTACTTTTGTGTGTATTTCATGTTAACTGTAAAGTGTAAAGAGGAACAATAACCTCTCCAGAACTCATTGTCCTCTTAAAAGAGAACTGTTCCAATTTTGATTTTGTTGCTGTACCGGTCATTATAACATTTCTAAATTCCTGTAGGGGATTTTAATTTTCACATTTGGACCCATTCACATTTTTACCTTTTTTTTAAATTGTGTAGCTTCCACCATCTTATGAGCAGGTGATAAAAGAAATTAACCAAGTGCAAGTCAGTCCAACAAATAACAATAATGCTGCTGCTGCTTCTAAACACACTGCTACGTCTGCAACACAGACTGACTTTCCAGAAGAAATAATCATCAATTTGCCAAGAAGTAGTGTAAAAAATAACCAAACTACTCTCTCTGAATCTGAAACTGTTCCAGGTAAAAGCTTTATATTGTGTTCTGGGGATGCTTTTAAAAGTCAATGTGATCATTTTTGCATTCAGTACAAGTGTTTCATTTATGGACTAGTTGATGCTGTGAATTACTGCATTCTCTTCTTACCTCTGATAACTGGATATTCCATTCTAGCCTGGGTCAGAAGTAAAAATGTGGTGTTCTTTAATATTACCCAAAGCTACCATGCATTTAATATTTAATATTTCCCCCCACAAAATCAGCACAAGTATTTTTCCACTCTATTGGCAATCGGTAAATAAAGTTAATCTGCACTAGTAAAGAGATGCTGAAAACACTGGGTGGAAGAGCAAGGAGGATGTAGATCAGGACTGAGATGTACACAAACCTAGTTGGAGAAGATGGTGTACTGTTCCTTGTTCTAGCCAGTGCTGGGAAACCCTAAATGTCATGAAACTTTTTTTAATATATATTTTTCATTATTTGATGGTGGTTTGAGTATGTTAAAATGAAAGTGCTGCAAGTCAGCAAAGTAAGTTTGGACTTTTTACTTTTAAATTCTGTGTATTTGAGCAAAGATCAATTCTTTCTGTAGTGTAATAATATTTTTGCCGATTGAGAAAGCAAGATTGACAAATCTAATACAAGAAACAGTGAGTCTAAGTGGAATAGTTGCAAGAATTTCAGTCAGAATGGTTAGAAAGGCCAAATGACAAAATAAATTTGTGTTTAAGATGTGTGAGAACACAATTTTAAAGCTTCTTTTTTCTGTCAGCAGTGCAAAGTCCTCTCAGACCTCCCAGACCCATCCTGAATAGCAGTCCTTCAGAAAATGAGGCTCCCTTAGTTGTCTTTCAAGCTTCTGAAGAATGGAAGTGCCAAGAAAATCCCAGTAATGTGACAGGTCCAGTACCGAAACCAAGATCAAAAGGCAATCTCAGACCTGTTGTCAGAGATATTCAAAGTAAATCACAAGACAATCAGGAAGAAGTGAGTCAGCCTCAAGCTGAAAAGGAGCCATCTCCAAATCAGCCTGTGAACCTCTTAGTTGATAGATTATCAGATAATCACATGTTGTTGAACAGTATGAATACAGAAAAAAGCCAAAATAGTATTGGTTCAAGGATCAAAGCTTTTGAATCCCAAACAAGTTCTGATACCTCAGGATTATCAAAGAAACCAGAAATTGCTCCACGATCATTTGGCCCAAGACCATCAGTAACTGCAAAAAAGCCAATAGTAGCTCCAAAGCCAGAGCTAGGGGCCAGGAAAGCTTCAGGAGAGTTGGATTCATGGACAGGAAGCACACACAAAGCTGCACCCAGAGAATGGCACCCTGCCCCTCAAGAAGCCAGGAGCGATGTCGTAACCAAACCTGAATTGCCAAAGAAACCAAAACCTAATCTTGTAAAAAGTACTAGTAACAATTTGCTTGATGCAAGGAATGGGGCAGCTTCAGAGAACAATGTTGGACAAAAGAAATTCCCAGTTCCTGCTCCAAGGCCACTCATTCCCAAAAAGTCATTTTCTGTAGAAAGTCCTACCCCTTGTTCGACTTTACTAAAGCCAGTCATTGCTGCTCCCGGTCTCTCTGAAGCTGCCCAAGCAGTGGCTTTCAAGTCACTGAGGGAGTCATCCACTCCAACAAACTTCTCAACATGTACATTACAAAGTAAACCAGCTGGGGAAGGAGATCTTATCAGTTTTGATGATGACATTTTCCCCCCTAGTTCAGTTGGTTCAGTTCAAGAATGTACTAGTTCTGAAGCAGCTGCAGGTAAGAACAAACATAAGGACATAAATTACAAGTTTGCATGCACATAATATTGTACGTATTTACTGCAGTATTAGTATATGTATATATAAAATTACCTGATTTTTGTTGTATTAAGCTTCATGTGAAATAACATAGACTCAAGAGATCGATATGAATGACCAATAATATTCCCAGGCTGTGTAATTTTGAGAATATGCCAACTGGATTTATAACAAGCGTAACTAAAATAATATATAATAAGCTCAGTAAACTCCACCTGTTCCTTCCAGGATGAATCATGATGCTTTCTTGGGCACTGGAGATATCTTGCCCCGTGCTCTCTGATCTATCTAGTACTAATATCTGAGTACCTAGCTCCTGTGTATAGATATTTATTCCCAATTATGTAAGTGAGAAGTAACAGTGTGCAATTTACTTTGGGAAATCATGACCAAGCACCGTAAAACATCATGCACCATGAGTGGAGGAAATGAGTGCAATTATTCGAGAATCATAGAATTATAGGACTAGAAGGGACATCGAGAGGTCATTTAGTTCAGGCCTTCACTCATGGCCAGTGTTCCCTTTAATTTTTCCCACCCCCTTGAGCTGAATGAATTTTGTTATGTGCACCAATATGGAGATGGTGTGTCAGACATCACCTTCATATTGGTGCACATAACAAAATTCATGTGGTGGGGTGGGGTCAAAGCGCACTCCAACTACAGTGGGGGAAAGATGCATGGAGCTGGGCCATCCTTCTCTGGCCACCAGACTGGAGCCCATCTTGGGGATGGAGAGGCATTCCTCCTCACCTTGCACAGGTGCCTTGAGTGTTTGTGCGGTGCTAAATAGGCAACTTTATGGCCACACAGCTTACTGGGAACTTAGCTCATGGTAGGAATAAGTGTTATCTAGGTCATCCCTAGCAGGTGTTTGTCTAACCTGCTCTAATAAATCTCTAGTGATTGAGATTCCACAACCTCCCTGGACAATTGATTCCTGTGCTTAACCTGCCTGTGGTTTTTCATATTGTTCAACCTAAACTGTCCTTGCTGCAATTTAAGCCCAGTGCTTCTTGTCCTATCTTCAGGGGTTAACAAGAACAATTTTATTTTTTCCTCTGTAAAAACCTTTCACGTACTTGAAAACTATTATCATGTCCCCTCCCAGTCTTCTCTTCTCCAGATTCAACAAACCCAGTCTTTTTCAGTCTTCCCTCACAGATCATGTTTTCTAGACCTTTACTTATTTTTCTTGCTTTTCTCTTGTTTGTCTACATCTTTCCTGAATTGCGATACCCAGAACTGGACATAATACTCCAGTTGAGGCCCAATCAGTGCAGAGTAGAACAGAATTAGTTCTTGTGTCTTGCTTACAACGCTCCTACTAATAGATCCCAGAATAATGTTTTCTCTTTTAGCAATAAACTTATAGATAGTGTTTACTCAGATTTAGCTTATAGTCCAATATGATCCTCAGATCCCTTTTTGCAGGACTCTTTTCTATACAATCATTTCCCATTTTGTATAGGTGAAGCTATACAATTCCTTCCATAACAGAGTATTGTACTTTGCATTTGTGTCCTTATTAAATTTCATCCTATTTACTTCAGACTATTTCTCCAGATCATTTTGAAGCTTATAGGGGAGGTGTTTCCACCAGCAGCAACCACCACCAAACGTGACTTTTTGGTTCAATCAAAACTGTTTGGCAAAGGACCAAATTTGCAAAGTTTTGTTGACTTTGCATTTTATGGCAAATAATATATCTGAGAGAAAAATCTGAAGAACTTTTAAAAATCCTATTTGGTCCCTATCTGCGTCTTTAAGCTTCTAAATATCTTGGAAAATAAGCGTCTCAGAATTCAGACCATAGGCTCTGCTCCTGCAAAGAATGGGACCCTAGGGTATGTCTAGACTACATGGCTCCATCGATGGAGCCATGTAGTCTAGACATACCCTATGGTCCCATTCTTTGCAGGAGCAGAGCCTATGGTCTGAATTCTGAGACGCTTATTTTCCAAGATATTTAGAACACTCCGTGATTGGCAAGGGAAGCCCTTGTCGACCGCGGAGCATCCAGACTATTGCGCTGTACCACCAAACAGCTGATCAGCACAGCGCGGCAGCCATTTTGATGTAAATGAAGCGGCGATTATTTAAATCGCTGCTTCATTTCCCTTTTTTGAGTACACTAATCTACATGGCTCCGTCAACGGAGCCATGTAGTTTAGACGTACCCCTAGTGACCATACAGAGCTCATCACAGAATTGGGAAGTTAGATTGTAAACTCCATGGGGCGCAGAGACTTATCTTTCTCTGTTTTTATATGGTTCCTGGCCCAATCTTAATTGGGGAAAAACTCCATAGGGAAAAGCAGATATATTTCAATTATGTTTACACACATTAATTAACACATCTTTTATTTGCTAAATTTCTCTTTCCTAAACTTTGGTAACTTTACAAAAACAGCTTCTTTTTTTTTCTTGAAAAGGAATTCAAGCATGTATTGATTTATGTCTGTTCATGGGCCATATAGTACTGTAATGGCTGTAGCTAACATAACATACTGGAGAGTTTTAAATTTTACTTAACTTGTTTTTGAGAACTGCACAAATACAAGTCATATTCTTTTGCTGATGAAGCTCATTACATTTAATACTATGGGTAACTTTGGTTCCTACTCCAGAGTTCCATCTGTCATTACAATACTCTGTTTTTAAGCAGAATTCCCAACTGCAATCCATAGGGAGTGCCTATTAAAAACAGATGATACAATAAAGCCCATGGTGAATGAAACACATTTTTGAAAATGTGAATTTGGGAGTGAGGATGTGTGTGCGTGTGAGAGAGAATTAATAATGTCTAGTACTTTTTTTTAGCTGTTTCACGTAAGCATTAAAAAAATTCAGCTCTTTGAAAAAAGATACATAAATAGTGCATATGTCACATGAAGCTAATATTTATTAATGGTAATGTGTTCTCATTATAACATGTGCTTTGCATAATTGGATGTCTCTTTTCTGTATTGATGCAGTAACTCCAGGATGGGTTTAGGAAAGTAACTGTAGAAATGCCTTATAAGTTCAGTACTGCTGATAGTGATACATATATTTGTCAGAACTGTTTGAACTAGATAATGAACTGCTTTTAAAAAACTGAAATAAGGTGACCAGTATTCTATTGAAATGAAATGTGCTGTAGTGTAGGGGGGGATCAGTTCAGAATAGACAACATGAGTCCTTTTCTTTGTGGATTGATGGGATCTGGAACACTTCAGAAGCAGTATCATTCTCTTGGGAAGAGAAAACTTGAGAATTACTTCCTAGACCACTCCAGGAAATGTAATGGGACTGGAAATGACTGTGTCTGAATAGAATTATTTTTCGCTCATCTTTATCCATTAGCGTGTGCCTGCAGTACAGAGCAGATCCTAAGACTTTTCCCCAAGCATTCAAAGTGTGGTTAAAGGAAACAGACAACTAAAAATACTGTGGAGCCCAGCTGATAAGCATTCAGGCATAATTCTTAAATTTAATGGTCCATTGCAAAGAAAACAGAATCGTAGCTACATACATGACAGATTGCCCCACCGATCCAAGAGAAATTAAATAAATATGGAACCAGAAATCCTGTGCTAGAATTGCCAGAAAAACCAACTCTCTGCCAGAAAAGAAAAAGAGCACCACTTCTGTTTACCTTTCTGATACATTACAGTCATCCTATAGATACACATGAAAAAAATACTAGGTTCACTTTTTCAAGGTGGACATTTTAATTACAAACTCAAAAATTAAGTATAGAAGAACCAGATTAAATCAGGATTAACTCCAATAAAATCAGTAAACTTGTCTAGGTGTTGGTGACATCGGAATTGTGCCCCTATTAGTTGTTACTATTGGTAGCACTATGACTTGACAAGGGATTCACAAGAAAATAACTTGCGAGGGGAAAAAATATGCTGACGTATTGCACCTACATTAAGTGCTTGCCCTGTTCCCATAGGAACAGCTTTAGGTTAACAAGATGAATCCACAGTAAAATGCTTTGTAAAGGCATGAAGAGCAGCTGTAATCTGCTCTCAGTTCCCCAGACCTTTGCATTTGTATTGAATAATGACATCACAAAATGCCAGTGCTCCACGCTTGTTGCTATGGAAACCTTACACCAGAAGAAGGGGCTTTAGTAGATGGTTTTTGGGACACAACACTTACCACTTGTCTTTAAGAGAACAGTTTTACATCACAAATGAGAATGTACAGAAACTAAATATTTCTGAAATGCAGCTAAAATATCCTGTCTGGTGCTTAAACTTGTTTTAGGACTGTGCAGAGATATCATTGCTGTAGTTAGAGCCTGATGCAAATCAGCAGTTCAGTCCAGTCTGCCATTTATAGCCAATATGGTGTACTAGAAAGAAACTGCAGGATAAGAACATGGGGCTACTGGGTGGCCCCACGTTAGCAACTCCTCCGGCACAGCTGTGCTACCCCCAGCGCCTCCACACAGGGTCTCTTCCATCCATACAGCAGCCCTGGCAGAGGACAAAAGGTGGAGGTGGCCTGGCTGCTCCAGAGGAGCTGCTGGCGAGGGGCCTCTTGGTGGCCCTACATTCTACTCTTTTCTCTACTGCGTTTCCCAGGATCGGCCTGACGTTCAGGCCTCTCCCACGCACTGCAGTGGGGAAAGGAGAGAATGAGAGCAGCTCCTCTAGCACAGCTGTATTGCCCCTGGTGCTGTCCTATGGCGGAGGTGTAGTATGGAGCTTAGACATGGCTACATGGAAGGGCTGGGGTGATAGAACAGAGCTGAAGGAGCTGCTGACATGTTTTTCCTTTTGCCGCTAGTCTGTGGCACAGCAGGAGAGACAGAGCCCTCTTCTGGTAAGGCGGTGGATCATGGGGTGGGAAGAGGAAGAGCATAGGGGACCTGGGCTGGGGGCAGGGAAGAGTCAAGTAGAGAGTCATGTGAGGAGGCCCCCATTAGCTGCTGCCCCTCTTCCTATTCCCCATATTGGT